ACATTGTAACTTTGTAGCAATCACAAGGTGAGAGGCTGCAGCTGATCTGTGTCAGACATTTGTGTCATCTCTAAGCCAGCATCTCAATCCAAGAAGTGGATAGACTCTGGAAAATGCCTGAACTAAGATGGCTCCGTCCTGCTGGAGAGAAATGTTGCTGAGATGGAAACAATGAACATACATACAGTTAGCCTATCAAATCCTCTCCCCAGAGCTACTTCTCCACAGAATCCCCATCACGTACGATGCTTTTAAAATGTAGTTTGTAAACATTACACAGAGCAGAATTAAAATTGTGCCACCTTGTCAACAATTTCACTTTCTCTAATACTAAAGAAGTACTCCAGGCAATCTAACAATTAACCCTTTGCAGTGGGATTACCCCCACGCTGCAAGGGTTAACTGCTCGTTTTGTCTAGGGGGCTCAAATATTGAAAATATGCTCGGCTGATCCTCGGTGCTGCGGCGGTCAGCGTTTACCTTTCCGCTCTGGCGGTAGAATGGCCCTCGGCATCCTCACGTCCTACGCAACTGCATTAAATGTGATGACAGCACGGGACCTTAGACTGACGGAGCCCAGGGTAGAAGAAGCTGCGGGGCCCATTCCAACAGCCAGGTGGGACCGAGGATCAGGTGAGTATGTTTTCTTTATTTTAACCCCTAGACCATCCTGTGATCAGTTCCCACCATTGATAATCTCTGTCTATAGCAGGGGTGGGCAACTCTAGCCCTCCAGCTGTTGTGGAACTACAAGTCCCATGAGGCATTGCAAGACTGACAGTTACAGGCATGACTCCCAGGGACAAAGGCTAACTTGCCCACCCCTGCCCAACACAAAAACGATTGATTAACCCTTGCAGTGCAGGGGTGGTCCCATTGCAAGGGTTAATCTCCAGACTGCCTGGAGTTCTTTAAACTTCTTTACCCATTGCCTGCCATTGCTCACATCAATTACTGCATCACCATGCTCATTCTACAGATGTGTATGGATCTCAAGAGCTGAGCAACCCTCTTTTGTTAGAAGCTGCTCTTTATTTCAACCTCTCATCCATGATTCACTTGGTATTAAAAAAACAGAAGCATTCAATGATTGAGTTAGACCATATGTATGACATATTTCAGGCCTTTTATTATGAGTTCACATGAACTCATAATAAAACAGGATTTACTTTAAAATTTGCCTCGCTTTTAAACTCTTCTCTTTTCTATTGTAAAAAGAAGTCAAAAATGTTTTAAAAAGTCAAAATTACCGAACGCGCTGCCGACCTGCCGGCAGGAATTCTCAGCACAGAGCATGTTTTTCCTCTTCTGCCTGCACAGGATTTTGCACACTTCGATCCGTCTTCCCAGAAAAGATTTCAGCTTGCTGGAAATCGGAGTGACAAGTGATCGAGTAATGTGCGACAGAAGAGAGATTACAGTAAGAGGCGTGCTGACGCAGCAACGCTGCCCGAACCAGGACTCGGCGCTCGCAGGGAAATGATTCTCTTACATAACATGTCATGGGGACAGCCAAGGCCAAATCACGAGCACTTACAGCAGAGATCGCTGATCTCACGTGCACCGCAACCAGGAGATGTGAATAAACACTATTTCCTGGAAGTGATAATACTGGTGGAGTGTATCTAAAACAACTGTGTAGAGTGTGGTAGGATCAGAACCTCTGTCTGGTTTTACTTTTTATCTTGTAAATGAAGTGCTGAGAGAGATAGGCTGGCCACCTCCTAAAAAGAAATGTGTATATATGTCTGCTTGTGTGTATTATTATCATACGCAAACAGTTTTGGTTTGCCCAGGTTTTGATTTCTTCGGGGTGAGCTGAGCAGTGGAGTCACTGTTGGGAGGGGGAGCTGAGCTGCTAAATCAATGTTGGGAGGGGGAGCTGAGCTGCTAAAAATCAATGGTGGAAGAAGGAGCTGACCTGCTAAATCAATGCTGGGGGCGGGGGGGAGCTGGGCTGCTGAGATACTGATGGGAGTGGGAGCTGAGATACTGATGGGAGTGGGTGCTGACCTGCTAAATCAATGCTGGGGGGAGCTGAGCTACTGATATACTGATGGGAGGGGGATCTGAGCTGCTGAGATACTGATGAGAGGGGGAGCTGATGAGCTGCTCAGATACTGATGGGAGGGGGGAGCTGAGCTGTTTAGATACTGATGGGAGGAGGAGCTAACCTGCTAAATCAATGCTTGGGGGTGGGGGGATAGGCTGAGCTGCTGAGATAACGATGGGAGGGGGGGAGCTGAGCTGCTGAGATACTGATGGGACGGGGGAGCTGAGCTGCTGAAATACTGATGGGAGGGGGAGCTCAGCTATTAAGTCGCTGCTGGAAGGAGGAGCTGAGCATCTAAGACACTACAGGAGGGGACAGCTGAGCTGCTCAGATACTGATGGAAAGGGGGGTCAGCTGCCGAGTCACTCTTAGGAGGGGGAAGAAGGAAGAGCTGAGCTGCTAAGACGCTGTTGGGAGCGGGGACAGAGGGAGCTGAACAGTAGAGTCACTACTGGGAGGGGAAAGCAGGAGATTTGAACTGCTAAGATCTAAACTCAAAAAACTTTCATGTTTCTGCTGTGTACTTTTGATGGATTGATGCTTGTTAAGATTATGTTAATACGTAATTGTCCATAGCCTAGTCACACCTTCACTTTAAAGCACCCTTCTGCTACAGTTTGGGAATGTTAAATACAAACCATTAGGTAGCGCGGGACACCTTCTCAGCCCAGTGGCAGGTCTTGGCAGTTGTGTATGAATATGGGAGCCAACACAAATGTTTGACCATGACACTCAGCAATATCCTGTGAAAGAATCCAGGTCGGAATAATGGAAACCACACATGCGCAGGTACTAAAAAAAATGACTTTTCATAATGGTTATGTCTTCAGCTATATGAACCTACCTCTATTCCTTTTTTTATAATAATTGCCCTTAACCCTGCACACCAGCTAGAATTTAAAAATTAAGAAGATTGCAGATGTAACTGCGTTGGCTCCTGAACTTAGGGAAGGGGAACAGCACCTAGCTGCAGCTCAGTCCGCTTCATGCTTCAGGTCATGGAAAGGGCAGTACATAGATATCAGCCACTTCCTTTTTAGTATGAATAGCACTTGCTGGCTGCAAGCAAAAATTATTTTACAGGTAGAGAGGGGAAGTTATAACAACTTTTTATTATTACTTCTTCTTCTACCACAGTGTGGGAAAGTACAAGCAGTTTCGCAGTGACCCAGTAATGCACAATGATCTCTTCCAACTGACCGAGAACTGGAACATCTATATCAGACTCCGAGCTGTCTCCAGACAATTGCCGCTGAGCTACACCGGGACAGATGGAGAGACAGCGGCCACTAGTGGCCAGTCCAATTACTACAGATAAAAAAAACCAGGAGAAAACTTTTCAACAACTTTCTATTTATATTTTTATTTATTTCTACTTTATAAAGGCCTGGGGGTGCTGCATACAAAAGAGATGAACCTGTGAATTTGGTGTATTTGATTTTTTGTGGTGAAAATGTAGATTTATTCAATCTTCACAATTCATTATTTAAATACAAGCATTGTATGTACCTAATTCTCATTTGGCATCAGCCTTTTGCAGTTCACGTACTATAGCGTCCAGGCCAGAAGAGGGAAAATCAGCACACGGAGCCAATAAGGTGTGCATGCTCATAGGCTAACAAGGAACTTACTGAGAGCAGAGTGATAGAGATGAGCTTATCAGTCTTGCTGCTTCTCCTTTCACATCCAGTCCAGTAACAGGCTAAGGGAGGGACAAGACCTGTAAGTGTTACTGAAATGCAACAGAAAAAAATCAGATCTCCTCCGTGCCAGACAGGACTGTCTGTTTTGCCAGGAGTGTGTAAATGTCAGGACTGGATGGACAGACATAGAAACCCCTTGACAGGTAAAAAAAAAGTATCCTCACATGTATTTTATCTGTGTATTTAGCTAGGGCTGTTCAGATACCAAGTACCCTACTTGGTAGAAGTACAGGTACAGATACTTTTCCAGCTCCAAGACTAGACTAGAGAACAAATTTAGGAGGCAGCTGTTATTTTTAAGGAGCATACTGGGCTCCTGGGATTTGTGCATCTCTGTTTTGTTGCAGACCGTGCAATGCTCAGAGAAATTGCAAAAAGCCCCAAGAGTTACATCTTGGAATGTACAGGTCTCAGTTAGCATGTTAAATATTAAAGTTCATAACAATTAGTACAATTAGAGAAATATGCTTTGTTTGGAAGGGTTGCCAGGAGAACGTCACTTCTCTCTAAAGAGAACATGGCAGCACGGCTTAGGTTTGCAAAGCTGCATCAGAACAAACCACGGAACTTCTGGACTAATGTCCGTTGGAAAGACGAGACCAAAGTGGAGATATGGGCTACAATGCACAGTGCCACGTTTGGTGAAAACCAAAACACAGTACATCAGCACAAACACCTCATGCCAACTGTCAAGCACGCTAGCGAAGGGGTGATGATTCTGAAAGCTTGGGCAAAATTGGGTCATGCAGCAGGACAATGATCCCAAGCACCGCAGCAAATCAGAATGGCTGAAAAAGAAAAGAATCAGGGTGGTGCAATGGCCTAGTCAAAGTCTAGACCTCAACCGAATTGAAATGCTGTGGAGGGGCCTAACGAGAGCTGTGCATAAATAAATGACTGCAAACCTCAATGAACTGAAGGCCACAACTCCTTCACAACGATGTAATAGACTGATAAAGTTATACAGAAAACCATTACTTCAAGTTATTGCTGCTAAAGGTGGTTCTACAAGCCATTGAATCATGAGGTGTGCTTAGATTTCCACACATGGCTTCTACATGGTGGCTTTATGTTTGTAACATCAATAATGACACGGTGTAATATGTCATATGTTGTTGTTGTTCATCTGAGGTTGTATTCACCAGATCATTTTGATTATGTCCTGATATGTAAAACCATAGGATTCAAACAGGGTGTACTTTCTTTTTCACATTCTTTGTGCTTTATAAAAGTCGATTCCATACCTGCTCAGCGAAGCTGTCTTTTTTGTCCAACATTTCACGTAACGTCTGCAGGATTTTGATACAAAGTTTCTCCTCCTTCTCCATCAGCTTCTTCGTGTGATTAATCAACCTGTGAAATTGAACATATTATCTTTTCAGCAGAACATTCATGAGTCGTTTTGCAATTGCTGTTCAGCCCAAGAGAGGAGATTAAACTTCTCCTGCAGGATGTGATTTTTTAATTCATAATAGCGAACATGTGGTGATAAAGTACTGGAAGGCCAGTGTGCTCCTTCCTCTATCTAACTCTCCTCTCCTGATATACTCTGCTCTGCTGGAGGAGTCTGCTCCTTCCTCTGTATCACTCTCCTCTCCTGATATAAGGTACTCTGCTCTGCTGGAGGACTCTGCTCCTACCTCTGTATCACTCTCCTCTCCTGAAATACTCTGCTCTGCTGGAGGACTCTGCTCCTTCTCTGTATCACTCTCCTCTCCTGAAATACTCTGCTCTGCTGGATAACTCTGCTCCTTCCTCTATCTAATTCTCCTCTCCTGATAAGCTCTGAACTGCTGGAGGACTCTGCTCCTTCCTCTACCTAACTCTCCTCACCTGATAAGCTTTGCGCTGCTGGGGGACTCTGCTCCTTCCTCTATCTAATTCTCCTCTCCTGATAAGCTTTGCTCTGCTGGGGGACTCTGCTCCTTCCCCTACCTAACTCTCCTCTCCTAAAAATACTCTGCACTGCTGGAGGACTCTGTAACTTCCTCCATCTAACTCTCCTCTCCTGATATACTCTGCTCTGCTGCAGGACTCTGCTCCTTCCTCTACCTAACTCTCCTCTCCTAAAAAATACTCTGCACTGCTGAAGGTCTCTGCTCCTTCCTCTAACTCTCCGCTCCTGATATACTCTGCTCTGCTGCAGCACTCTGCTCTTTCCACTATATCTAACTCTCCTTTCCTGAAATACTCTGCACTGCTGGAGGACACTATTGATTTCTCTATCTAACGCTCCTCTCCTGAAATACTCTGTGCTGCCAGAGGACTCTGCTTCCTCTATCTAAAGTAGGCTTTACACTGTGCAAATTTTGTCCAGTTCTTGATGAACCTGCCGAAATTCACACAGTGGATGCCTCTATTGGCACCCTTCCGTCCGGCATCCCTTGATCAGCTGATCGAATGAGCAGTTTGGAAAATCTTTGGCCAAACGAAGCTGCAAGTCAGTCAGCCAATCAGCTGCAAGCTCCGTTAGGGTATTCTGACAGCAGTTGGTGACCACTGTGGGAATACATTGCAAAGCAGCAGGGGATTCCTCCACCAACGCTCATAAACGTTGATGGCGGAATCTGTTAGATTTTCCTTGTTCAGCTTGCAGGTTGAACAAAGAAAATACAGCCTTGTATACCCAGCTTAACTCTCCTCTGCTCGGCTCCTTCCTCTATCTAACGCTCCTCTCTTGTTATACTGCTGCTGGAGGCCTCTTCGTAATTCACTTCTACATGATTTTTTTTACACAGCCGTACATCGGGTATATGGGTAGATCTCCTATCTTACCATCATTTTGAGGAAAAACAAACTAACCTAACACAGAAAAAGAAACATTTTCCATCACAAAAAAAGGAAAGACCTACTTAGACATGAAGGCCCCACAGCGGATCCGAGCATCGCTTCCTTCAGGGAAGAGTAGTTCAGGGCTGTGCAGGACATCGACAAGGACTGAGAACTCCGCCAACACCATGGGACTGAACTGGTGCTCCAACGAGGCCACAACATCCTGAAAATAGAACAACAGAGGGTAAGGCCAACATTTCCACAAAGGGAGGTTTATTTTCAGAATTCAGCTGTAGGCCCACCCACATGAAGGACAATATCACAGGTAATTGTAAGCACCTATCAAGGTAGGTATGCAAGCGGAACAAAAGATTAATTAGATATTAATCTTAAATCTCAATAAAAATTAAAACGGGAGCTCTTTGCCATCATGTGTACTAAAATGAATTCCCGAGCTGCTTCATGTAACCTAGATCACATGCTTTCTGGCTATCAGAAGCAGCATGGTTCAGTACAAGGGACAGCAGAGTCCACTGATTTCAATGAAAAGAAAAAAGTGCATATGAATGAGAGCGCCACAAACGTATGAAAGGTCCAGTAAACCTTTAATAATCGTAGTGCAAAGTTTTACAATCAACACGTTTTGGGGGTTCAACAATTTCCCTTTCAACAGGGCTTATTAAACGATGCTTTCTGCCAGACAGGGTCTGTCTCATTGAAATCAGTAGAAGATAGTTATCTGTGGATCGCTGGACTACACGGGTATATATGACCTAATAGGGTCTTCCAAGGCTGCTCTCTATCATCGGTGGAGTAATGGGCAAAAGAGCTAGGTCTTTTGTCCAGTACTCCATCGAGCATCGTTATTATAAGCCCTGATGAAGGGGGATTTGTTGAACCTCCAAAACACATTGGCTGTCTTTTTATGTATTTTGCACTACAATCATTAAAGTTTGAATGGACCTTTCTTACATTTGTGGCGCTCTCACTCATTTGCACTTTTTTATTATTATATTGGGCATCCAGTAAATATTCCCAAGAGCAGCCTTGGAAGACCCAAGACCTCATTAGGTCATATGTACCCGTGTAGTCCAGCTCTCCCCTCTCACTGTATACACGGAGCGGCAGGGTTACTTTTAACCCTGCCGCTCTGCTCACCGCTCTCCATCCTGAAGACAGCGGCGGCCAGCGAGGAGAGGACGGAGCCAGCATGCAGAGAGGTAAGTGCAGGGGCGGCGGGGGGAGGACGGAGTCGGGAGCAGCATGCAGAGAGGTAGGTGCGGAGGGTGGGGGGGCGGACGGACCGGCTGCAGTCTAATTACAGGTGATCTTGGCGACATCGCCCAGATCACTTGTAAACAAACAAGTGGCTTCCCCGTTCTACATTTAGCCCTGCTTGTGCAAAGCAGGGCTAAATGTAGAAAACAAATTACCGTCCGGAACTCCATGTTCAAACCTGTGCCGCCCCGAGGCCGGGCCTCGGTGGCCTTGTCGGGAATACGGCCCTGCCCCCCACAGGTGTACAGCAAACAGCCTGACACACATACAAGCCATCTACAGTAACTTTGAGCTGCCTGCTCCTCAGCCATAAGAGTTTGCAAAATGTTGTGTTCAGTGACAGGTCCCCTTAAAGGTTCCCTATGGACCCCAACAGCTAACACCATACAGCCTCATCAAGGGTACCTGCAGCTTCTCGATGATGTTGCGATAATCCCATGCCGGACCCCCTAGCATCTCTTTGCGGGGTCCAGTGCGTGCGCTCATCCTCCAGCCCATGGCGGCTCTCTGCACCATGTTAGTGTGACTCTTCAGGAACAGCGTGTTCACCTGGCTGTCCAAATCCACCGGGATGGCTATGCCACGGTTTTTCGCTGGTGGGGGAAAACACCAAAAGGAAAACATTGTATTACTCAATTCTCCAATAATCAGGATGATGAAAAAGCACCTTAAAGTGTATGTCAAGCCAAAATGTTTTTTTCTAGTTTTGAATAGGGCAGAGAAAGATTAGAACCCTGCCAGGTCTTTACTGCTATGCAAGGCTCCAGTAGAGAGATTTTCCCTCACTTCCTGTCCTGCTGACAATACTTACACCAGAAAGGAACTGAGGGAAAATTTGCAACCGGGATTCAGAATTAAATATGTAAACCATGTATCAGTTCATAGTTGAAGACAGTGGTTAGTACTTCAGCCTTGCAACACTGAGGTCCCCAGTTTGACTCCAGGTTTGGCCAGGACACTATCTGCATGGAGTTTGCATGTTCTCCCTGTGCTTGTGTGGTTTTACTCCGGGTACTCTGGTGTCCTCCCACACTCCAAAAACATGCTGGTATGTTAATCAGCCCTGATGTATGCATGTGAGATAGGAATCTTAGATTGTTAGCTCCTTGGGGACGGGGCATCATGTGAATGCGCAGTATGGGAAGTGCTGCGCAAACTGACAGTACTACACAAATGCTTGTAATAAGTAAATAAAACTGATTTATATGGAGCACATCAACAAAAATAGGGTGCCCCTTATATAGGGGATCCATAGTGTAAACCGGGGTAGGCAACCTTAACACTTCAGCTGTGGTTAAACTACAAGTCCCATGTGGCATTACAAGTCTCTGACATCCAAAGACATGACTCCCACAGGCAGAGACAGAGTGGGATTTGTACTCGACAGCTAGAGGGTCGAGGTTGCCTCACGGAGTTCTTGTACTCCATATAAATCACGGGAAATAAAATCTGACGCGTTCTAGTCTCCACCTACATGAAATCCTTTTTTTTTTTTAAGAGCAAAGGAGAACGTCTGACACTATTTATATTGCTGTCCTTGGTGCTCTACCTTGGGAAGATTTGGTACCCCCGTTGTTGATCCAGGGGGGTTGTGGTTGCTTGCAGAGAACAGTCACTGGGGGGGGGTTCTTTCATTTGGAAGGGCTGAGGCCTCGTTCACACCAGATGCAGTGGGTTCTGGCCGGATTCTGGCCAGAACGCGTTGCATCGCATTGCGGCTGGCTCGCTATGTTGTGGGGCAGGAGGGGGAGATGCTGCAAGCACTATTTTGATCGGACTGGACCGCAGGCATAATGTGCCTTGCGATCCAGTGTGGCCGATCGCATCGTGATTCACTTCAATGGACTGCCACGCCCTCTCCTGCCCCACAACATAGTGAGCCGGCGGCAATGCGATGCAGTGTGTTCTGGCCGGAACGCACTGCATTTGGTGTGAATGAGGCCTGACACCGGACTGCACTGTCAGTGGCTTTGTCGCGTGTCCCGCCCAGCGCCCTGACATCATTGGTTGTCAGGAGCTTGGCGGGACACCAGCAAGGTGTCCCACTCAGCTCCTGGCGACCGGTGATGTCAGTGGGCTGGGCGGGAAGCTGCACAGAGTGTCACAGGATGCCAAGAGGTCTTATAGCAACCAGGGACCCAACAGACGTTTTGAACTATAACTGCAGATTATTCAGCAATAGCAAAATGATTTTAAAAAAAAAGTGGAAGAGCTAAATGATTTCCTGAGGCATGCTCTTGTAAATTCAACCTCATCTGAATACATGTGGCTGTGACGGACAGCTGGAGGGGGCACGGACAGACTCCAAGTGTATACACAGCATGCACGGCTCAGTATATAACCTGACAGGTACTCTTTTGGTATTCACAGAAAAAGCGGTGAAAGTTTGGAAGAAGTTTCCCTTGAAGAACTCTCGGCTCCTGCTGCAATTAAGCACAGACACAGTCCTCATCCCCGCTGCCGTCTCCATTCATCAAGGTAAAGTGTTGGAAACGCGTCACGCAGCTGTTCGCGCACTCACCCACTTCTGCCAGTGTTTTTATACACGACTCCACTGAGGATTTCTGAGACGGGTTCGGCCACGTACAGTTGTAAATTCGGAAGGCGGATTGGAGGAGCTGGATGAAGACGGGCTGGTGGGTCTGCGGAGACATGAAGCAAAGAAATACACCATCTGCGCATTAAATCTCTGCGATTACCACAAAGCATCTCTGATAGCTGCTGGCTGACGTGAGGGCGGCCATTTTGCGAACTGAAAAGTGCGTCGGGCGCTTCAATAACAACCAGCTGCAAGATTTACGAGACGTACCCACATGTACAAAACTTTTTATGGGAGTTTTTAAAGCGAATCTACTTTTTTCTCCCCGGAAAACCCAAACAAAATGATGATTCCAGCATACATAGGCGAACAGCTTAAAGCTGAACTACGGGCAGATATAAAAGCACAGATTTGATCATCTCTGCACTCATGAATGCATCATTAAATGTACATGTTATCAGTGAAAGTGCCTGAACGTGACTTGGTATCAGCCTCTTGATGTCACTATATAGGAGAGCTCATTTTGAGGGAGGGAGAAGCACAAGGAGCCAATCAGTAGTGCTGCAGAGCTCGTGTACTAACAAGGGTCTTGCTGATAGGAGAAGAGAACAGAGTGACCAAGAAATGGGCTCATTAGAGCTCATTCACACCAGGGCGGTTGCAGATCAGCATGGCTGATCTCGTAAGGGAGGATTGGGGAGTTTTTAATTGTGTTTCAGCACTGCAAAAATAGTACAGGGAGCAGTTCGGGCGGTGGGCGGTTCGGATCACGCAGACCCACGCGGTCGCATGAACTGTCCCCGTAGCAATGTATGGGATCGTTCATGTCGGCGGATCCATGTGGCCGAATCCGTGCAGGCGACCCGCCCCGGTGTGAACGGGGCCTTAGTCTGCTGCTTCTCCTTTCACTGTCCAATCAGAGGCTGGTCAAAGGACAAGACCTGTAAGTGTTACTTAAAGTGCAACTGAAGCTAAAATGTTATTAGTGTTAGATAGAGCGGAGAGGGATTAGAACACCTGTCAGGTCTGTATTGCTGTCCGTGTCCCCGTTGGGGAGATTCGCCCTCTTGGAACACCTGTCAGGTTTATATTGCTGTCCGTGTCCCCGTTGGAGAGATTTGCCCACTTGGAACACCTGTCAGGTCTGTATTGCTGTCTGTGTTCAGATTCACCCTCTCTATTTGTCCTGGTGACCGTTATCACTGAAATCCCAAATCGTGAGCTATCAACAGAACAGGTAGGTGGGAAATCTTCCAATGGGGGCACTAGTTCCGATGACCCAGCTGACCACCAGGAACACCTGTCAGGTTTGTATTGCTGTCTGTGTCCCCGTTGGGGAGAATCGCCCTCCTGGAACACCTGTCAGGTCTGTATTGCTGTTTGTGTTCAGATTCACCCTCTCTATTTGTCCTGGTGACCGTTATCACTGAAATCCCAAATCGTGAGCTATCAACAGAACAGGTAGGTGGGAAATCTTCCAATGGGGGCACTAGTTCCGATGACCCAGCTGACCACCAGGAACACCTGTCAGGTTTGTATTGCTGTCTGTGTCCCCGTTGGGGAGAATCGCCCTCCTGGAACACCTGTCAGGTCTGTATTGCTGTTTGTGTTCAGATTCACCCTCTCTATTTGTCCTGGTGACCGTTATCACTGAAATCCCAAATCGTGAGCTATCAACAGAACAGGTAGGTGGGAAATCTTCCAATGGGGGCACTAGTTCCGATGACCCAGCTGACCACCAGGAACACCTGTCAGGTTTGTATTGCTGTCTGTGTCCCCGTTGGGGAGAATCGCCCTCCTGGAACACCTGTCAGGTCTGTATTGCTGTTTGTGTTCAGATTCACCCTCTCTATTTGTCCTGGTGACCGTTATCACTGAAATCCCAAATCGTGAGCTATCAACAGAACAGGTAGGTGGGAAATCTTCCAATGGGGGCACTAGTTCCGATGACCCAGCTGACCACCAGGAACACCTGTCAGGTTTGTATTGCTGTCTGTGTCCCCGTTGGGGAGAATCGCCCTCCTGGAACACCTGTCAGGTCTGTATTGCTGTTTGTGTTCAGATTCACCCTCTCTATTTGTCCTGGTGACCGTTATCACTGAAATCCCAAATCGTGAGCTATCAACAGAACAGGTAGGTGGGAAATCTTCCAATGGGGGCACTAGTTCCGATGACCCAGCTGACCACCAGGAACACCTGTCAGGTTTGTATTGCTGTCTGTGTCCCCGTTGGGGAGAATCGCCCTCCTGGAACACCTGTCAGGTCTGTATTGCTGTTTGTGTTCAGATTCACCCTCTCTATTTGTCCTGGTGACCGTTATCACTGAAATCCCAAATCGTGAGCTATCAACAGAACAGGTAGGTGGGAAATCTTCCAATGGGGGCACTAGTTCCGATGACCCAGCTGACCACCAGGAACACCTGTCAGGTTTGTATTGCTGTCTGTGTCCCCGTTGGGGAGAATCGCCCTCCTGGAACACCTGTCAGGTCTGTATTGCTGTTTGTGTTCAGATTCACCCTCTCTATTTGTCCTGGTGACCGTTATCACTGAAATCCCAAATCGTGAGCTATCAACAGAACAGGTAGGTGGGAAATCTTCCAATGGGGGCACTAGTTCCGATGACCCAGCTGACCACCAGGAACACCTGTCAGGTTTGTATTGCTGTCTGTGTCCCCGTTGGGGAGAATCGCCCTCCTGGAACACCTGTCAGGTCTGTATTGCTGTTTGTGTTCAGATTCACCCTCTCTATTTGTCCTGGTGACCGTTATCACTGAAATCCCAAATCGTGAGCTATCAACAGAACAGGTAGGTGGGAAATCTTCCAATGGGGGCACTAGTTCCGATGACCCAGCTGACCACCAGGAACACCTGTCAGGTTTGTATTGCTGTCTGTGTCCCCGTTGGGGAGAATCGCCCTCCTGGAACACCTGTCAGGTCTGTATTGCTGTTTGTGTTCAGATTCACCCTCTCTATTTGTCCTGGTGACCGTTATCACTGAAATCCCAAATCGTGAGCTATCAACAGAACAGGTAGGTGGGAAATCTTCCAATGGGGGCACTAGTTCCGATGACCCAGCTGACCACCAGGAACACCTGTCAGGTTTGTATTGCTGTCTGTGTCCCCGTTGGGGAGAATCGCCCTCCTGGAACACCTGTCAGGTCTGTATTGCTGTCCGTGTCCCCGTTGGAGAGATTTGCCCACTTGGAACACCTGTCAGGTCTGTATTGCTGTCCGTGTCCCCATTGGGGAGATTCGCCCTCCTTGAACACCTGTCAGGTCTGTATTGCTGTCTGTGTTCAGATTCACCCTCTCTATTTGTCCTGGTGACCGTTATCACTGAAATCCCAAATCGTGAGCTATCAACAGAACAGGTAGGTGGGAAATCTTCCAATGGGGGCACTAGTTCCGATGACCCAGCTGACCACCAGGGATTTCTCTCACTTTGGAAGGATTTCCTCTCACTTCCTGTAGTGGCTATCAGGCAGGAAGTGAAGAGAAATCTCCCCAATGGGATACAGATGGCAACAAAAAAAGATGACAGGAGTTATAACCCTCCCTTACTCTCTGCAAAACTAAAGCTTCAGTTCTACTTTAACTAAAAAGAAAAATCAGGACTCCTGTCCTCCCAGACAGGGCTGCGCTGTGGGGCAAAACAGTGTAAATCTCACGACTGGATGGACACAAATCCTTTGTGTGTCATCTGTGTATTTTTCCTGGAGTTCTGTTTTAAAGTAGAACTCCAGACAAATGGTTTATAATACTCCAGTTATGGGTCACATGTATACCAGGACATGACACGGTGGAGGACAGATTCCACAACACGAGTCTCCCAGTTCATCAGATATTAGAAAACTTTTACCATCCCAAATGTTTTTTTTTTTTTTGCTCTCTTAAACCTTCAGCCTCCTAATTAATCGCTGATAATCAGGAAAAGACTTAACGAGCTTGAGTGAGAATCTGTATTCCTCCAACATGATCCGAGTCTTGATAGATGCGCCCAGCTGTTCATTAATCGCGCACCGCTCCGTGGTCCTGAATGTATTTAAATATTGCCTGGCTTTTATAAATCACTGATCGGAATGTGGAAACATGGACAATTATGGCTCCTGACAATGAGCGGCGAGACGGGAAGGATGTAACTGGGGAATGAAATGAGCAATGGCCTCTGCCCAGGTGTCTGACAGGTGAGGGGAATTAGCGAGGTTGAGGACGGCGGTAAGTGATGAGGCGCCAGAGAGCAAAGATGTCAGATCACAGCCCAGGTAGTTAAAGGGACCTGTGCTGAGGCTGCCGCCAGTCACCTCTCCTTCTGAAAATACTAGTTGCCTGGCTCTCATACTTTATCAATGGCTTAAAGGAGTTGTAGAGTCCCAGCATATTATCTCCTGTTATAACATCAGTAATACTCGAGTTGTTTCTGATAAAGCAATCAAAGCTTACATGAAAAAATCCCTTTTATGTAGTGAGTGCTGCCTTCCATCTGCCCATCACTTTCATCAACTTCCTGCATTCCCAGTGTGCTTTGCATCTCTTTCCCTGCTGCTTGATGTGATGCAATCTTAGTTTCTCAAGACTGTATATCCCATCATGCATTGCTTCCAGCAAGTAATAATAATGTTACACTGTTCAGACATTGCGTTGTAGATAAGAAGGCATGCGTTGTGAGAGTGGTGATACAAGGAAGTGCATAATCACATGGCTGAGTAAAGTTGTGTCAATATGTATATATATATATATATATATTGTGAGAATAGACCCCTGATGTCTCCAAAAAAGTGAACCTGTCCCCTCCAAACGCTATAACATAGGAGTTTGTGTGATAGCAATAAAGTTAAGTGGGGAAAAAAGTACAAAAATAGTGAAATAAAATTAAAAAAAAAAATATTAAGAACCAACCCCCGCCGCTCCCGCCATCTGCATGCAAATGAAAACACGCACGTAAGGAATGCATGCGTATGTAAACAACACGTTTTAGGGATCAGCGTTTCTTCCAGCAATAAATGGAACCATATAACACACAGTCATTCCTCGTACCTGAAGGCTGGTGCTGTTATCGGAGAAAGGGGAGTTGAAAAATCCGCTGACAATGTTCATGACGGCCTCAGTGACGTACTTCTCCAGAGCCGTGTCTGCGTGTTTCCGATCCGTGGTCGTGTTGCAGACCTTTCGGGAAAAACAAGAGTCCATGATTCATTTAATAAAACAAAGTGCAACTTAGCCCATGCAACTTAGCCCATGCAACTTAGCCCATGCAACTTAGCCCATGCAACTTAGCCCATGCTGGTCCAATAAGATGGAGCAAACTACCTCATCCTGAATTATCCTAAAGTAAAAAAGTGTCCCCATTGGGGAGGAGTGAGGGTAAATCTCCCAGGGATAAAGAACCCTGCAGAGGATCTAACCTGTCCCCAACCCATCCAAAACAATAAAAACATGTCCTCTGTGTGACAATAAAATGCTTAATATTGCAGCATGCCAGTCCTCAGATGTGGTGGCAGCATTTTTTTCACCTGGTGATCCTGCCAGTAACACCCTTTCTGTCCTAGGGTGACAACACACTGCACTGGATCTATGGAAGGGCAGAGTTGTCACACTATAACAAGAAGATTTCCTCTTCATCTCTTCTTTTCCATAACATGGGGGCCGTGTTCTGTAGTCCTTAGAAGCGGCTGCACACAATGCTAACTAATAAGTCAGCACAGGCCGACAGCACAGGAAGTTATTGGCTCACGAGGTTTCTGGCAGGAAATCACTTATTGACCTGATATAACAAAAACACTTCTAACTGTATAATTAACAGACCAAGAGGGAGCAAATAAGAGAAGTTCATTGTTATGGATTACATACAATTTAAAGAAGTTCCCCCGGGAATTTAAAAAAATTGTACCCTTTCAGTGGGGCCACCCCTGAACTACAAGGATAAAGTGCTCATTCTGGCCTAGGTACAAAAATACAAAAGGTTATACCCACCTAAACCTCGGAGACGGCTGGCTCCTATAGCGCTCCCTCCAGCAATGGTATGTCCCTTGGAGACCTCACATCCAATACACTGAGGGGAATGTATCCAAACTAGAGCAGACAGAATCTGCAGCTGTGTATGGCAACCAATCAGCTTCTCTCTTTCATGTTCAAATCTTAACTAAACAAACGAAAGAGAGAAGCTGATTGGTTGCCATCGGCAACCGCTCCAGATTCTGTCTGCTCCAGTTTTAATAAATTCCCCCCACAGTGTATAGAACATGATGACCTAGGACCTTAAACCACTGCAGGAGGGGGAGAGAGACTCTGGGGACCGGTCTAAGAACAAGCCGTCTCCGAAGATCGGGCGAGGATAACCTTTTTCTTGCACCTAGAACAAAACCAGCAGTTAACTCTTGCAGTGCCGGAGGTAGTCCCACTGCAAGGGTTAAGAATCATTTTGCCTGGAGTTCTTCTTTAAGTGCTCCTTATGTCTGTGGGGACTCTAATTAAGATGATATACTCAGCTGATCCTTGGTCCTGCAGCTGTCAGCGCTCACCTCTCTCCCCCTCCTCTGGCTGTGGGACCGGTCTAGCTGCCCGGCGGGACTGGCGATCAGGTGAGTATATCGGCTTTATTTGAGGCCCCCTAGATAGAATGAGCACTTAACCCTTGTAGTGCAGGGATAGCCCACTGCAAGGGTACTTTTTTATAAATTCCTGGCTTTCTTCTTTAAGTGCCCAGTATGTTCCTGTGGCTGACATAAAGCATTTCGCTAAAATAATTCCTAATTTCTCTTTGCGTGATTTTAAAGTAAGATGTGAAGAAACCAGAGTGACTCCAGCGTGCTGCCCGTCAGAAATGACTCCAAGCATTCATCTTGTAAATGCTGCCAGGCTGACGACACAGACAGAGAAGAGTATTAGGCCTCATTCACACACAACGCAAGAGCAACATTAAATATTGCGTACATGCGCGTAAATACGCGCCTATGTATATGCAAAATAAGTACTATCCTTGTCGCACTCCTTACCGATATGTCCCTTGTAGTGGGGGGTGCTCGCAGTGACTGCGGATGGCGCCGCGAATGTCAGCAACATTTTAGAAATGTCACCAGCACACAAGTCCTTTTAGGATAGCAAAAGCTTCATTTATTGAAGTTTTTTGTCATATGACCTAAAACTTCAATAAATTAAGCTTTTGCTATCCTAAAAGGATTGTGTGCTGGTGACATTTCTACAATCTTTATGTACATGCATACACGCGTATATGTGCGTGTATGCGTGCACTATATGCACTCCCAGAATGCATCATCCATAATAGACATCTTAATGAACTGTATGCACGTACGTGCGTATACGCGCGCAAACACACGTATATGCGCGGGAAATACGCTGCTCGGACGCATCTCGGTTCCATTCTGTTTTTGCGCATTTTTGCGCTACGCAAGTATACGGCCCCATACGCAGCTATGTGTATGGAGCCATTTATTTGCATATGCTGCATATGGTACAATACGCACGTACGTGCGGCAGTGTGAATGAGGCCTAAGTGCCGTGGATCAGACACAAGGCAGCTAAGCTTACAGTCGTTGTAGAAAAGACACTTAGTATACACTGAGTGGCCAGATTATTATGACCACCTGACGTTTGTAGGCGAATTAGCTATAATTTCGCACTGAAGTTGCTAGAGGGCCAGACCATTATAAATAGGGAAGCAGGTTGTTTACCACGACAGTAGAAGTGATTTGTTTCTGAAGATTCGGGTAAACAACGCGATTTAACAGCCTTTGAACGTGGGATGATTGTGGGCACTCGGAGCCATGGAGCGAGTATCAGCAAAACAGCAGAATTCATTAAATGTTCAAGAGCAGCTGTTGTTAAAGTGTTTAAAGACTGGACTGTCAGCCGAAAACCTGGGTCTGAACGTGCGAATTGTGGCCGTCAGCGAATAGTCAATGTTAGGGCAGAACGGAGAGTGACAAGACAACAGAAGGGCAACAGTGCCGTGTCAGATTCCTCACATCACCTTTCAACATCTCGTGTAGTCACGAGGCGGCCCAACGAAGTACTGATGGGGTGGTCATAATAATCTGGCCACTCAGTGTATACCCCAAAGCGGGTGACGTTATCACTATTACAGCAGTGAATTTAGTTACATTCGGACAGCGGAATGTCAGCGCTCTTTAGCTTGTGATAACAATGCAACTCACTCTCGCCATATCCACGAGGAAATTCTCAAATAACTTCCAGATGTGGTTGCTGGTGTAGATCTCTTTCATTTCCACCTCGGTGTCCACGTAACAGTGGTTGACGAAGTTGACGTAGGCAATTTTGACCTAGAAAGAGAGGACAGTAAGCTGGCACTGATATATCGGTGACCTTTGAAACTGAGATTTTAACACTCAATGGAAGCCTCACACCTAATTATCTCTGTGTGGTCCTGAACATGTTTTTATTTGTGGCTGATTTTTGTTTGGAGATGCCTTAAATAACCCTTTTCTCCCAGTGAAAATGCTGCGTCCTGCACTCCCTCTTCAGGGCTCTGTGCTGGCAGAGCTGAGTAACAGCCACACCCCTCATCACAAGTGTCCTCACACGGGCTTGTAGAGCTGAGGAAGATCGGGGGGTATCTCTGATCCGAGAGACGTGTCTGACCAGATTTAAAGACAGCCCATTGTACTACACAGTTATATTTACACATTCTGCAACATTGCTGTAACAGGAAAGTGGAGGGAGGAGGTTGGTAGTACAATGTCTGTCTGACTTAATACCTATTTTTCTACATGAGGTTTCAGCAAATGTAACGCATTTTAGGAAAACATACTTTATGTTTTTTATATGCTTATCCTAGGGCAGGGGTGGGCAACTATTGCTCTCCAGCTGCTGTGGAACTACAAGTCCCATGAGGCATTGCAAGACTGACAGTTACAGGCATGATTCCCAGAGGCAGAGATGAGTTGGGATTTGTAGTTCAAGCACAGCTGGGAGTCATGCCTGTAACTGTCAGTCTTGCAATGCCTCATGGGACTTGTAGTTCCACAACAGCTAGAGGGCCGTAGTTTCCCACGCCTGCTCTACAAATAAACTATCCATGGTATGAACTGATCACGGGATCAGAGTGCTGCAAGGCAGAAAACATTACCAGTTTACCACAATGCATTGGCTAAACAGAACTGTTTCCTTAGAGGGAATATGAAGCCTTGCTAAATATTGAGGCAGTCAGTAATAGCGCCACCAGGAGGACAAATCCTCAGTATTCCCCCAAAAATGGCTGCCATTTTGCTCTGGCCAGTGTAAGGCTGGGCACACACCTTACAACCATCGCAAGACTTTTGTCTTGCGATGGTTGTAAGGTACTTAAAAAAATGTACGATCTGCCTATCTTGCATAGGCAGATCGTACTTGCGATGATCGCAAGCCACGCCCCCTGTGGGGTGGGCTTCCGATGACCGCAATGCCGAACGGGCAGTGTGCGCTTGTACGGACAGGCCACAAACCCGCCAAACATCGTACGATGCTCGGCGGGTTTTCGAACATGTCAGTAAGTTTAAAATCGTGCGACCTTACAGTAGTAGAGGTCGCACGGCTTCCACACACCTTACGATAATCGTACGATCACGGGATTTCCCGTGATTATCGTAAGGTGTGTGGGGACCTTTAGCGTTTAACAATTGTGGCTTACCTCTGGAATGCAGTCATCATGTGTCACCACCCGGACAATGTCATCCAGGGGCAGCAGGGAGTTGCACTTGATTTCGGTGTAGACATTCTTGCCCTCTGTACAAGCTGCCAAGAGCTCCACCAGGGTGATGTGGTAGGCCAGGGCCCCGCTCTCGTCTGCACGGTCTCGCTCAGAACACATCATCTGGAGGAGGACGGGGAACGAGGCCCGGTCATTGTAGAAGATGAGCACATCTTCCCCGCCGTTGATCAGCTGAAAGACAGATAAAATCCCAGCATGGTTTGTGTGAGCCCCTGATTGGTCAGTTGTCTGCTTCACTTACTTTGAGATCCAAAATGAAAGCCAAGTATAATATTACAGAGGGAGTCATTGTAGACTTTGGTCAGCTGTGTGTCACCATCAAGAACTTTGTAGTGCCTGAATAGAACCTAAACCAGGGGTAGAGTCCTGTAATGCTTTAGGGGACTTGTAGTTCTTCATTAGCCAGAGGGCCCCAGTTTGGTTGCCATTGTCCTAGACTATTAAACTACCTCTCTTCTGTGTTAGGACTTAGATCCAGCACAATAGAGGTGAGTATGCAAGAAAGGGATCACGTTTACACAAGAAAGGGTTGTGTTAGGGTTAGAGGGAGAGTAACTGTGAGGGTTACAGGCAGGGTTAGTGTTAGAGTTACAGGGAGAATTGGTGTTAGGGTTACAGGGAGGATTGGTGTTAGGGCTACAGAGAGGGATAGAGTGAGGGTTACAGGGAGGATTGGTGTTAGGGCTACAGAGAGGGTTAGTGTTAGGGTTACAGGGAGGATTGGTGTTAGGGCTACAGAGAGGGATAGTGTGAGGGTTACAGGGAGGATTGGCGTTAGGGCTACAGGGAGGATTAGTGTTAGGGGGAGGGTTAGTGTTAGGGTTAGAGGGAGGATTAGTGTTAGGGGTTACAGGGAGGATTGGTATTAGGGCTACGGAGAGGGATAGTGTCAGGGTTACAGGGAGGATTGGTGTTAGGGCTACAGACAGAGATAGTGTTAGGGTTACAGGAAGGATTGGTGTTAGGGCTACAGACAGAGATAGTGTTAGGGTTACAGGAAGGATTGGTGTTAGGGCTACAGACAGGGGTAGTGTTAGGGTTACAAGAAGAATTAGTGCTAGGGTTATAGGGAGGGTTAGTTTAGGGGTACAAGAATGGTTAGTGCGAGGCTGGTTTATGGTTACTGTTAAGGCTATAGAAAGGGTAGGTTTAGAGTTAAAGGAAGGGCGAGTGTTAGGGTTACAGGGAGGGTTATTTACTGTTACATAGAGGATAGTGTTAAGGTTACAGGAAGAATTAGCGTTAGGGTTACAGGAAGGGTTAGTGTGAGGGTTACAGGGCGGGTTTGTGTGAGGGTTACAGGGAGGGTTATTTTGAGAGTTACAGGGAGGGTTAGTGTGAGGGTTACAGGGCGGGTTTGTGTGAGGGTTACAGGGAGGGTTATTTTGAGGGTTACAGGGAGGGTTAGTGTGAGGGTCAAAGGGAAGGTTAGTGTTAGGGTTACAGGGAGGGTCAGTGTTAGGGTTATATGGAGGTTTAGTGTTAGGGTTACAGGGAGGGTTAGTGTGAGAGTCAGTTTAGGGTTACAGGGAGGGCTAATATAGTGTTAGAGGGAGGGCTATTGTTAGGGTTACAGGGAAGGTTAGTGTTAGGAAATTTGATTGAAAGGTCCTGATGGACAGAGTGTGATGTGATGGGATCACTGCACTCCAAGCCGCAGAACGTGCAGGATTCTCATATTTAACAAACCTGTGAAAACAAGTCTATAAAACCCTTTCCGTTAAACCAACTCCTGGTTCAGGCCGAGACTATAATTAAACCAAAACAGCCCGTAAGAAAGAACTGAACAATAACTACAGCAAAGGAGAACCTGACAAAGCGGCGTGGAGCCTAATGGTGGGGAATTGTTATGTAAATTCAAGTCTTGTAATAGTTAAAAGGACGTGAATCAACCTTCAGCGCCAAATGAAAAGGTTGAAAGGAACCCGGCGCTCAACAAAGGTTATCCATGTAAGAAGTTTTCAATTCCTTCTGAAAAAAGTAACAGCGCTCATGGCGACCGGCGCGGTGCGTTTTTTTTGTTCCATCCACGACTCATTAGCTTGATATATTTTTTTTTCCCCTCCCCGATGTCTTTTTTTGTCTACATCTGCTACAAAACCGTCCGCTTTTGGCAGGCGGGAGAAAAACGACATTTTCACTTTTAATCTTTTGAAAGGGGAGAGCGCAAGGAGGAGAAAAAAAAAGAAAGAAATTAGTTAGCATAACCGTATGCGATATCTGGTGTCATATGTCAGTCATCTTAATTGCTAGCAGAGAGACTGGAAGTTTTATGTCAAAATGGCTGAACATTGCATGTCATTCAGCGGAGGATGGGGCTGACGAGGAGATTTGAGAAAGAAAAGTTATCGCTTTCTTGAGACTCTCGGAGTTCTGGCAGAAGGTAGGGGAGCCGCGCGGCCTCGTTTTTAGACCGCTGTGAACTGGGCGTGAAGTAACCACTTGGTAATTACCAGCAAACTTTAAACAGGTAACAAGTGTCTCAGCTTTTGCAAAAGCTTTAGAAAGATTTATCTGTCCGACCCGGAGGTCAGCGGAATTAATCTGGCTTCTTATTATTCCTGCTGGCTGCCAAGTTCACAAAGCAGGCTGTAACACATGTCTGATTTTAGCTTTCCGATGGCTTGCAAACACAGGTTTATCTCTGTTGACTAGGGATGCACCGATACCGTTTGTTCGGTATCGAGTACCGATATATTTTTTTGCGGTACTCGCCGATACCGAATACAGAGTACTGGAAGTCCCATTAAGAAAGCCAGGCAGAGTGTAATGACTTGCCACCTGGCTTCCTGATTAGCCGGGAAGCCAGGCGGCGTGTAAAGACTCGCCATCCGGCTTCTCAATCAGCAGGGAAGCCGTCCCCATGCTTCTTGTCACTAGGTGATGAGAGGGCATGGAGCCAGCTTTCTGGCCAATCTATGTTTCCTCGTCATGAGGTGACGAGGGAGCATGAAGCCAGCTTCCCGGCCAATCAGAGGAGCTGGGCGCCGCATCATTACATGCTGCCCGGCTTCCTGATTGGCCGGGAAGCCGGCTCCATGCTCCCTCGTCACTTCCTGATACCAGAAGTATCGGGCTAGGCATTGGAACATTTGGGCGAGTACAAGTACTTGCCAAAATAATCGGCATCACAAGTGACGAGGGAGCATGGAGCCGGCTTTCCGGCCAATCAGGAAGCCGGGCAGCGTGTAATGACTCGCTGCCCGGCTTCCTGATACCGGAAGTATCGGGCTAGGCATCGGAGCATTAGGGCGAGTATAAGTACTCGCCCAAATACTCGGCATTGACACCGATATTGATACTAGTATCGGTGCATCCCTACTATTTACATAACCTGAAATGATAAATCGTTTAAATTGGATGTACATTTAGAGGATAACTAAACCCAAGAACAAATTTTTTTTTTTGTAGCGTCCAGTCCCTACATGCGGCGGCTGTGTTAGTTTTCTTTTTTCATGTTAAGAACATTTTCAACAAGCGCAGAATATACCTCTTGATCTTGCCAGAAGTGCATCGTCCTTGTCACTTCCTGTGAGCTGAGCTGAAAAGCACAAACAATATTATCTTCCATCTGCATACTACTGATCCCACCACCTCCCATGTAATGGAGATGGAGACAGAAGACATGTTTGGAGTCCGGCCTGGGTAACAGCCATGGTTCCCTCCATAAATACAGTGGAGGAGCAAGCCCAGCCATCCAGGGATAGGAAGTGTGTTACTGGCAGGGTCAGAAGGTGAAAAAGAAAAAGAAAAATCTAAAATTCTGTGTTCTCTGCATCCTTATCCAAAGATAAGTTATCAGCCCTGTGAACTATAGGACTTCTTCCACTTCTGTTATGGAGATGACAAGAGGGGAAGGTGTTCTCTAGCACTAGCAAACTTTCTGCCCTAGACTGACAATCTTGCTCCTCCCATAGACACAGTACAGCGAGTGAAACGGTTACCCCAGGACAGGAAGTGTGTCACTGGCAGGATCACCAGGTGAAAAAAGGCCTAAAAAAAGAAAACGAATGCAGCCACTACATACTACATCAAGGACCGGTAAGCCATGGTTGATGATTAGAATTGGAAAGATCAAAAAGTGTGTGTGTGTGGGGGGTGGTGGGGGGGGTGAAGCTCTTTAAAGAGACCCTGTCATCTTGGCCAAATTGGATAACTGCACCAAATGCTACATTACTTTAAACCTATGCTTCCAAACACTGTTGGGTTATAAATAGCATTTTTTTGCCTATCTTGTTCCCAGAGCTTTGTAGGCTTTGTACAGGAAGCTCCGAGTAATCCTCACTGAAATAGATGAATGTAACTTTTGATGGAGAGGCGATGAGCCGTGCTGTAATACATCAGCTTTCTGATTATTACATATTAATCAGAACAGTACAGCAGCATCAATCACCAGTCTTTCTACACTTTTAATAATCTCTCTGAACGCCGTCAGAATCCCCGTGTATATGTCTCATGTAGCAATAAAATACTGATCCAGCCGTTTCAAACACCAGGGTCAGATTTTTGTGTCGTCATCACTGGCCGTGGTCTAGGGCAACACGGCTGCCAAAGCAAACACACAGCCACCAAGACATCTCGTTGATGATGGGGTCTGTATACCTAGAACCAAACCACCAGCAGAATAGGGCAATACCTGAAAAGTAAGGGCCCATTCACATCACACGGTTCCGCACAACGCACATCCCATGCGATTACAGTGCGGGAGGAGCGCTACATGCCAGGGGGTGGCGTGACAGAACAATAAACCGATTAGGCAGTTAGATTTAAATAATATGTTCTTATATTTACTCAATGCAGGTATGCAACATGTTTCCAAATCCCCTCCACCTGCATACATTGATTTCTTTTCCAGCCACAAAATACTGCTGCTTTAACCCCCAAAAGCCTACCCACTGTGTGTAGAGGAAGGGATCTTGGAAGATGTAGTTCTGGGGCATGTGCCTATGTCAGTAGAACTGACCTTCCAGCAGATGCCCCTGCAGGAATTTTATAAACCTGATGACTGCATCACAGGGAATAAATCTGACCATACACCTATAGATGATCTGCAGATTTTCTATGGTCAGATTGAAATAGTGCAACTGATTCCTCCATCTAAGCTAAACTGTGTGGATAGAGGAATCTCCCACTGGGCCAAGCTTCAGTATTTTGCTAGTCTGCCCCACTGGCTCTCAAAATACCTGAACAATCTGATTGGATGCAGGCATTGTTCAGGTATTTTGAGAGGCAGTGGGGCCGACTAGCAAGATACTGAAGCTTGGCCCAGCGGGGGGATTGCTCCATCCACACAGTTTAGCGTAGGTGGAGGAATCTGTTGCACTTTTTCCATCTGACCACAGAAACTCTGCAGATAATCTATAAGTGTATGGCCAGCTTTATAAAAACGTTTCCCTTGCTACAGCAAAACAACTTTTCCCTGCGTGATCTAGAGGGGAAGAGGGAGGTGCGTGGACATACACTTTAATAGCTGTAACAGTTCTACAAAACAATTGTGGGAACTTGATCTTTTCCACCATATGATAAAAGTTGAACGTTTCCACCATATGATAAAGTTAAAAGCAGTGTCCAATTCTCCCAAATCTTTACAGATCTCATTCTGCATACATATCAGTGAAATACATTAGAAAACCAATCACATAAACATATACAGAAAGGTAATTTCCTATCCGGATTTCATTTCCCATCTGTAAAGACGGCTGAGGGTGCCGGAGAGAAAAATATGCGTACCTCCGTCATCACGACGTCTTGACATTTCTTAACATACTTCCCATCTGCTTTCACAATGGTCTGCAGGAAGCGCAGGTACTCCACGTGGCGGCCGTGAGTCTCCACGCAGTGGACAAAGTGCTGGACTACGCGGTCGCTGATCTCGTTGCACAAGTGATAGTTGTTCATAAAGATGTTTCTCATGGTTTCTGCTTCCAGGAGCTGAAACGTTCAAATAGAAGGACCATTTCCATATAGAATGGCTGCAAAATACTGAAAGACATCATTTTAGAAATAAATACTACAGCTTGAGTGAACAGTCTAGATGTCACCTCTTCTTATGGCGGAACCAAGAAGTAGAGTCTTGTACCGACTTGGCCATCGATTATTGCAGAAATCCTCGAGTTTAAGTCATGTGTTTTATTGACTAACTTAAAGAAGAACTCCAGGTAAAATTGTTATTAACCCTGGCAGTGTGGCTACCCCATGCACTGCAAGGGTTAACTGCTCATTTTGGTCTAGGGAGGAAAATAACAAAGATATACTGACCTGAACTTCAGAAACGTCCGTCTGTGACAGCGCTCCCTCCTGCCTCCTCTCCTACTCTTAAGCAATTGTATGTCCCTCATCATCCTCAGGTTCTATACATTGTGTATAGAATGTGATGACTCAGGAACCTTGGACTGCTGCAGCAGAGGGTGGGAGAGGCTGGATGGACAGGTCTAAGAGCTAGCTGGCTCTGAAATTTGGGTGAGTATAACTTTTTTCTAAGAGAGAGAAAGCTCTCTCTCAGGTCAGGCTAGAGGAAGCTAGCTGGCAGGTGAATGGGGAAGTGGAGCGCCTTGGGGATGGGTGCTTGAGAGTTACTATTAACTCTCAAGCAACCAGAAACTACAGGTATCCGGCACCTACCGAAC